GTGTTTGTGTCTGTATGTATGTATTTACGTACTAAAGTATGTTTTATCTATTTATGTTTTGCATGTAAGTATCTATATATGTATTGTATATATATATATTTCTATATTTCTATATTTCTATATTACTATTTTCTTATATATATATATATAAGAGCATGTATGTATGTATGTATATATATTTTCAAAGGAGCGTTTTCATAAACACAAAGTTCCGATCTTGACAACAATATTACTTTTGTATTTCTGTCACAATTTTCATTGAGCATTGGAGCACTCTTGTGTGAAAACCTCGTCAAAGTGCTCATACGCGTTACCAATTTCCGCTCAGAGCCTGACTATGATGAAAAAGTGCGTCAAAACATGAAGAGCATTCGTGCGAAGCAGCAAGAACTTCACGAGCAGAAAGTACAGGAAGCCGCGGAGCTACGGAAGTTGGTATGTGGTGCCTGCGTAGTATTGGATCATTATTCGTGCGATATAAACCCGGTCTTGAAGTTTATCAATGACTGAGTCGGTTGGGTCATGGTTTGATTTGAACGCGATCATTTTATTGAAATATATGATATCGGTGTTGTGATAAGTGTCAGATTTAATGTTAGCGCTGGGTTCCTTCGTATTAGGTTGTATATATTATGGGTTTTCTTCTTCTGGACAATCCAGTCTCGGTGGCAGGATTTATAATTGTAGAATAAGGACGAAGGAGGGTACACTTTTCTTTTTGTGTGGTGCTGTTTGTACACAGCGTGAGGAAGAAGCTCGCGAGTCAAAGATTGACGAATACGACAGAACACTTGGCAACGGACAAGGCTTTGTATTAGGGGATGGAACACCAAAGCCCAAGCCGAAACCCAAATCGAAGAAGTCTCATGTATCCGCTGCCAATGGTACATAGATGTAATGGTGCGTATTATGTGGCTTAGGCTACAGCGAGGTAGCCGGCGTACTGTGATTGTTGGCATGAGTTTCTTTCGCTGTGTGAAGCGAATATCCGTGTGATAGTCCTTCGTGGTCCATCTTAAAGTGCCAATAGGCAGTGAGGTCCATTCACAGTCAAAGCCGAACACACGCAGTGCTAAGGTTTGTCGAGAGAATACCTGCGAGCGATTCATGCTTGCAGTTTATCCGCTTAGCTTGCCATTTACTCCTTTTACTAATCAAGGCCGTGTTCGTTTATTTATGGTGTTGATATTTTCTCTGGGGGTATCCGTCCATTAATAGAATTCGGATGGGTGTTCACTTTAATGTTTCGGCCAGACTAGGACTAACATGCTATGAAGTCTCTCGATTGTCCACTCGCACTAACTCAATTTTCGACTCGGGCTTACTCTTGTTTTGTATTCTGCAAATGCCAGTCCTGCATATCCTGTCACGGTACGTTGTATTCGTGTGTGTGTTGTCCATACATGAGATTGTGGTCTAATAAATGATCATATTTGTCCCCTATATGGTGAAGTTTTTGCTCACGCATGTATTCTCGCACCTTGTACAGATGGTGGTTACTTTCCGCTTGGGGGCGGTGGTAGTGGTGGTGGTGGCCGATTCAGATCCCAACGAAACGTTAGACGCGGGTGAGCTTAGTGGTCCACATCCTGGCTCGTGATACAAAGATGCGTAAGGTATGCGTAGTGATACGTAGTCGAAAACGCAGTCTGTGCCACATTCTAATACACACCCGCTTATGTGTGTATGGAAGGAGCTGGAGAATGTGCTAATCAAGCGAACTATAGTCAGCTACTCCTAACAAGGAATACAACAATCATCCTGTCCTGCGCTGGACGATCACATCGACTGATCTCATGCAGGGCTGGAGAGGCCAATGCATCGCTGCTCTGAACGCATGTGGATCCCCATGCAGAGAGGTGTTAATTCGTCTCTCACACTTTGAGGATATGTTGCCATGGGGCGGCAGATGGTGTTTCTCTTTTGTGATTGGTCATTTTCAACCGGAATATCTCGGCGGGCAACGGGTGGGTATACCAGACCTTCACACCTATGACTGTGCCCATGCTAATTGCGAAGTCTCGCGTGCACGGATACACGACAATCGGAATGCGGTATAGATCTGCATGCAATAAAATATATTACTGTTTATTAAGTACGAGTACTCGCGCCTATTCAATTCAGTATACTCGTCTTTGGCACTAGAAAAGTTTTACTTCATGCCACACTACACCTTTGTAGTCACCAATATATCAAGAATACACACACACACAATCACGCACGAGTTGTATAGAGTGGCAAACACGTGAGTATATAGTGCTACACAATCATGTGTTTAGTTACTTTTGACACATGTACGCTGGCGTGTGCACATTATATTGAGAAATCGTCCTAAATATAATAAGGCGAATATGTACAATTAATGCACATTAGGTGTCATGTGTTTCTACTTAGATTCATAGGAGCTGCAGTAGTAAGTATTGGATGTACATATCGGTCTGAGATTACAAGGCGATATTTCTCGGTATCATGTTTAATTGACGGTGTCATATTCGTACTTGTTCACTTAGCGCTTGGTCGATTGTTCGATTGGGACCTGAATCGTAAATCCACTGGTATGAGCGCGCTTCGAAATATAATCTGTGCTGTTTTCAGTTAGTTGTCAGCCAAATGAGCCAGGTAGAGGGCAATATAATATAACACTGTTGAGTATTAGGCGTGTACAACTCCTCGCCAGGTTATGGCGATTGCATGCAGACACTACCTGGTCAATAGTATTTACAACCACCAACAAAGATGCGTGACCAACAACAATTAACTACGCCTCTTGGCACTGCTCTACTTGTCTCGTATCACCAACTCATTTCAAAACATTAGTTTGCTGTACTATGTTGATCTGTACGGTCATGACACGTACACGTCAACTACGGAGGCATCTAGTATTTTACTATTATCTCCCATTTTGAGCAAAAGGCTTGTTTGTAGTTTTCTTCAATTAACGGAGATTTCTTCTCTGACTACAATGAGTGACTAGCACAGGCCACTGTCGAGATCAGAAATCGGAGCAGTACTGTATAGCATTCATGTACTCTACTCTAAACATTGTGAAGTCTTGAAGATTGGGTAGCAAAATGCATCGTTCTCAGAGTGGAAGCTCCTAATGTCCAAATTCTGCAGCTCTACACAACTCGTAAGATGAATTGTGCAGCCAACTACGTTTGCGCCTGTATGGAAATTTAACCAGCGTACAAAAGAGAGTAGTATCTATACCGAACTGCTTCACGATTCGACAGGTGTACAATATGACATTATCAACAAATACAAACTGCATTGAAAATTCGATATGGTATGAGCCTACGGTGAACGGTATTGGACCCCAAGTCGTTCATTGAGTATCTTCGGAAATGATTGTCGTAGAAGTTAAACGGCATTCTTGCCTTTCTTTATCACAATCATTTACTTTTTATAAAGCCTTCGAAAGAAAAATAGGAAGGGTAAATCACTGCACACAAGTCACAACTCAGACGTGGGCATGAATCGCGATGCCGGTAGTAAATATCATAGCCTTGATTTTAGAAGGACACCAAAGAACATATTTGTGAATAGTAAAAGAGTGTGAATTGTGAATTGTGGTGTAAACGTTCAATACAGAACAATAATCGTTAGAATTAAATAGTCTCATACAAGAAACTATTACATAAAGTTATGTAGTATATGTAGTCAACACTACTGATCATAAACAACAAACTAACTCTAATCAGTTTCTCAGTCTGTCAGTTTGTCACCAGCACTGGCCACGATCACCACTCACCAGAGTCCCCAGAAAGATAGAATCGTCACTCACCAGAGGAAGCATTCCAACTTCCATGTTGCTTGGTAATTGAGCAAACAAAATACCAGAATTCTTTCTCGATAGCGAATGTTATTCCAAGCAGAGAGAATGGACTACTCGTCGATGCACACAATCACTGTAGCACACTATAGGTTGAGTGGGGGTCTGAATGACGGCATGTAGACGTCCCGCCTGTTCAAGAAGATATGTACATTTTATTTCGTTCATGTGCGCTACTAATAAATTTACTGGCCAGCCTGCATCCTCGCCCGCTGCATAAGTAATTCATTCATCGCGTATTCTTTCTCCTTCAATGACTTCTCCAGATATTTTTTTTGTTGCTACACATGTGGAGAACAGTAAAAGGATGAGCCAAAAGCAAACAAATGTCCTGCTCCCGTGCTAGACCTCCACCTATCTATTTGTTGCTATAAACGAACAATGGCACGGTGACGTTTACACTACATAAAATCATTTATGTGATGACTTGTACTCTATAATTGTTGCTTCGAAATTAACGGTAGAGTAATCATTGCCTACACGATAACAATGGAACCCCTCGCTTGCTCTAATCGTTGCTCTGAGCTCGGGATAGAAGACTAATTCGTACGATACTCGGAATTTTCACAGTTACAACCGTTTGATCTACATTAGCAGTCTTTAAATATAAATCTATATCAATGCGGCTACTATTACCCGATGCTGGAAAAAAGTCTTCAACGCACAGGCTACTTGAAATTCACTCGAAGGATTGCTTAAGGTAGCAATGTCCAGCTGACAACAATATACAATCGTAAACACAGACACGCATGGCAAATATGAGAGATGGGCTTCAGAGCACTCGCATCGTAAGAAACATGAATTGAGCTAGCAGTAGACACGGCCAAATATACAAACACGCCTGTTTGATACTAAGAAGGCTCGTAGTGGCCTGTCAGCTCACATACTGCGATGTACGAGGCATACGCTAGTGCAATTAAAGCTAAGAGATTTGCTACCACGTACAACGTATACAACTGATGAATAGTATATCATCGGTAAGGCTACAAGCACGAGTGCGCAATGTGCAAACTATTATCGTTGTACACTGTGTACGAAGCACTGCGGAAAGATATCGCAGAGGCATACCTCTAGATTTTTTCGCTCTGTTTGATGTACCAGCTCTTGCTCCTTGAGCCCGTCAGTGATGGTTTTTGTGTCTTGATTGATGAACCTGTATCGGTGATTGAGGGCAGGCAAGTTTTAATTAAATGCTATGCAGCCAGGTGTCGATACTCACCTTGCACTTACGTATAACAGATAACATATACTTGTCCTTCAATATAGTTGTGTTCATTTCTGAGATTTAAAAAAGCTGCCTTGGCTGGTACACACGATGTAGAATCCACTGGGCAAATCGAAGCTGACTTGACCGGACAGCTTTTCAGCTAGGCATTGCTTCGATTGCAAAAAAAAGTGCCTGAGTTGGAAATCATATCCACCCCCGCTTCCGAACATCCTTTCTATCAAGTGATCATATGAAACTGCCCTTAACATGCAAAATATAATTAAGCTGTAACGAATAGCGAATCGCGGTGCTAGGCTAAAACCACAGACGCGTGATAAGAACGCATCAGCCAATATTATTGAAACAGAACTATGAATTTACATCTCGAAGAACCAATTGCATAAAAAGTTGATTGGAATGAGATCATCGATTTACAACGACTCGTTCAAAATTCCCCAAGAAAATACAGCAGAAGAAGCAAAACCAATCAAGCACATATGCCAACCCAGTCTAGTGAGTTTTTTTTTGCGAGTCTACAACCAACAATTGGCCAGAGAACTCCGCATAAATTGCACACGGCATAGTTCGATTGTGTTGGTATGAGTTGGGTGTGTACACTTACAATCTGGGCTAATGCATATTCCAAAGTCAAGTAGGAGTGATGGTATCCGTAAATTCAACATACGTTTAAACTCATCTTACACGTATTTCATAGTGTGACGTACCAATTTGTGCCGGTGTGTACCACCATATAAGACCAACATCAAGCTCGACACATCGTGTCAGCCGTTGCTACAGGTGGAATCAGACGTGATTCACACGGATCACACTTTGGAACATATCGGTGCGAGCGGACTACAAAATATCGACAGAGCCCGACAAAAAAATTGTTTGACAGATCAAATCACTCAACACAAACATAAAGCTATTACAGCAAACCGCTGCAGAAATCAATTCTACTCTCGGACTTCAAGTTTTAAACCTGGTCGCTAGACTCGGAAAACAAAATCTTTCAAAACAGAATCTATACATACAGTCGTCCCACGGCCGTGTAGCACTTTGTGTCTTTGTGCATGCTGGTTAGTTCTTGTGCCGTTAATTGTGTCTTCCGAATGTTACGTTGTTTAACCTCCATGTGGCTCTCCACATATCGAATCTTCTGCTGGTCTTGCATCATTTGCACTTGCGTCTCTTCAAAGACCTACAAACCGTCGTGAAAAACAATGCACATATCAACATCTTACATTTTCACACATGCATACGATATATATTTATGTACACACACACACACATATATATATATATATATATATATATATATATATATATGTGTGTGTGTGTTGTTGTTGTGTGTGTGTGTGTGTGTGTGTGTGTGTGTGTGTGTG